AGTGCTTGATTGATTAGTCCTTTCCCCCCAGAGAGAGAGCCAATGAAAAGCTGCTTTCTCTCCGAGCCGGCGCTCTGGCAGGTTTCCAAAGCGCGGTCCACTCTGACAACCAGCCTGTTTGTCTGAGAAATGACTCCTAACGACACCAGAAGTGGTTGTGTCGGAGTTAACCTGACTCAGGAGGAACATACTCAATCAAATATGTGTATTTTATGTGCTGATAAGAGGGTTTTAAATCTGTGATCTAAGAGTTGTTTGCATTGTTGTGGGAAACTTATACAAACAAATGATGTAATAGATAATATGAGGGCCAATCAAATAAGGAAGGCTCGCTCTATCTCAAGTTTTTAAATTACACAGAAACATCACCATTAAGAGAATTAAGATGATACACAGAAACAAATCAAATCAGAGCAATGGCTATAAAACACACCTCGCTTAATAACCAACCTTTTATTCATGATTTATGTATAAGGCTGAAGACTTTCTCTTTGCCGCTGCTTTTAATTGAACTATTCACATCTTACACGGCACTGTAACTTTTATTCATGTACCTATATTATTCATGGTTTATTATATTAATGCTTCTAATGTGTTTTATGCTCTTAATGTCTTTCAATGTTGTAAAGCACTTTGAATTGCCTTGTGTTGAAAAGTGCTATATACATAAACTTGCCTTGCCTTGTCTAATAAGTAAGTTGTTTACTTGACAATTTTCTTCCGTACACCCGAAAGAGCAGTGAAGATGTTCACATCAGTTAGAAATATGCAATACAACAAACCTCACTTTGTCGTTTTATACCAAATAAAGCCTTTGCAGCCCCCACATGTAGGTCTTACACACCAGGTGATGTAAGTGTATAGGCATTGAGATCAGGGGTGTTTCTCAATGTCGAGGAAGGCTGCTCCAGAGCCACTATTTCAAGCATACTACGTCATCGAGTCCCGCCGAAGGACTGTTCCAATGTCCAGCATACTTGGAATTCTACCGAGCCCGGCGTACTTCGTAGCGAGAAATTTCGAGGCTGCACATGTGTAGACTCAGCGGTCTTAAAATCCCCACAATGCTTTGCGCACGGACCAATTTCCCCAAATCTTTTGGGCGGGGCCTCTCATATGACGCACACCTGCACACTTGCTCGCCTGTTCCACTCTTCGTTTTCCGAATGCCAGGAAGTATTCTTGCCTCGCTTCTGAAGCAAGTGACTCGGAAGACTATGTGCTATTGAGAAACACCCCAGGTCTACATTATCCTAGAGAGACTGAGACTGAGGGTGTTTCTCAATGTCGAGGACGCTTCCTTGGTAGGACATGTCTTCCGAGTCAGGTCCTTCAGAAGCAAGGCAAGAATCCTTCCTAGCCCGGGACTCGATGACGTAGCATCCTTGGCTCTGGAGCAGCTTTCCTCGAGATTGAGAAACACCCCCAGACTCTGATCTGCTCTGTTTGATAGTTCTCTCTCTTCGTGTCTCTCTGGATTACGTCAGGTTTTCCAATTCATCTCATTACAACAGGGAACGTAAACAGTACGAACAAAAATGAATTCTCTGGAAGATAACATGAACAAATCAGGGGAACATTGTGAAAGAAAACTCAAGTGCTCTGTCAAAACACAGTCCATCATAACTAACGTTAAAACAAAGACTAATGGTGAGTATTTATATTATTACAACCTCCCAGAAGACCTGAGGGAGACTTTTTTTTTATGGACTTTAATTCAATTATGATTTATTATTTATTAAGTATTTTTTAATAATGAGAAAGTTATGTGCCGTCTATTGAACTGGGGTTTGAGGGGGGTGGCATTGTTATTTTAAATCGTTGTGGTAGGTGTGTATTAAAAAGGCTCTATAAAGGAAGTTTAATTGATTTATTGATTGATATGATCATTATTCAATACAGGCTTAAAGGTGGCCCTCCACAATGCTGAAAAAACTATAAATATTTGACGTAATAAAGAATAAAGACATTTAAAAAAAAGAATATATATGAATAAAATGAATAAATAGAATAAATAGAATAAATAAAATAAATAAATTAAATAAATTAAATAAATAAATAAAATAAATAAAATAAATAAAATAAATAAAATAAATAAAATAAATAAAATAAATAAAATAAATAAAATAAATAAAATAAATAAAATAAAATAAAATAAAATAAAATAAATAAAGCTGTAATTCATCCTGCTAACCTGATTATATTTGATGATCCATATTGTAGAATAAATTGTATTTTATGATAAATACTGTTATTATAGTTTCATTAAAATAATTGTTAACCTCATGTTATTTTACTTTCCATACCGTAAACCAGATTATATTTCTTCATCCATACCGTATACAGGTCAGAGCTGAGTTTAAATGTATGAACAATGTGTGTTAAAAGTAAACCACACTTTAAATGATGATTATAAGACGGGAAAAGTAATTACAATCACAGCTCTGCAGAGTTTCCTTTCTGTTAAAGCACGGTTCCAAAATGTTTGTGAAAGCTATTACTGCTCAGAGCTCACTTTGCTCCCTGAAGAAGTGACGGCCAATGCAAACAGTCCGCACTTTATACCTTTCCATTTCCCCACCCTGGTATTAAACAGACCGGCAGCATGAAGCTCCCTTTAAATTACACCATGAATCACAGCCAGGAACACCCACCATGCTGGAGGCAGAGTTAAGCTGAGAGGACAGGGCGTAAAAACCAGAAGGCATTAACATTTACACACCGGTGAGAAACCATTAATGAACTCTTTAATGCAGTTATTAAGACTGACCGCCGCCAACACTGAGGGAGGACCAGTGGCGGCGCTAGGAGGTGGCTACTTGGGCTCAAGCCCCGGATGTTTTCTGAAAAGCCCCGAATGTTTCACTTAAAGGTGGGGTAGGTAATTTTGGAGAAACCAGCTCGAGTGCGCTAGAATTTGAAAATACACAACCGGAAAAAATCTACCACTTCCTTACAGAGCCCCTCCTCCAACACACACGAACGCGCACATGACCAATGAGGGCACGAGATAAGTTTGTGCATAGATGGAAGGCTGACAGGCAGGTAGGCCATCCAGTTACTTTAGCCAGGCCGGCTCAGATGATTGGTCGTGCTTTTTACAGTACTACGGCTTCCACAGATGACATTTTTTAATGGATTTTTTGTCAAAGCACTTAAGATATTCATTGCTATCGGGATGTTAAGAGCATTCCATGGAATATAACAAAAAGTGTATCTCGAGCCGGTTTCTCAAACTTACCTACCCCACCTTTAAAGCAGTGCATTTTTTTTTAAACTTCACGTGAGTAATGTGCAGTACCGGAGTCCAACAGAGAGGCAGCAGCTGCGGAACAGTAGCCTGCGTACTACGTAGCCTTCCCTGCCCTGAAGAAGAAGTGATCCTTTGTTAGCGTGAAGAGTCTGCTTTATGCACTCCGCTGTAGCCCCGCTGCGAGGCTCCGGCGAGTTCACAGTTCATGAGCGTGCTCCACTAGCACCCCCCCTTGGTTAAAAATAACACAATGGTGCTCTAGGAGGAGATTCAGGTGATAAGGTGGGGGGGGGGGGGTTACCTTGGTTGCTGATTGGCTAATGGTTACACAAGCCAAACAAATCGTTATGACATCATAAAGTGGCCAAAATCTGATCAGCTCATTTTCAGACAGGTTTTTATATAAATGGATCAGGACAAAAAGAGAGAGAATCTTTGTTCCTGAAACTTTCAGAGTCTCTTTCCACAGAGGGGACACATGTTGATGTAGAAGAGACATGAAGAAGAGGGGACACATGTTGATGTAGAAGAGACATGAAGAAGAGGATTTTGCATAATAGGTAACCTTTAAGCTGTTTGTGTCCATTGGTTCTGCCCTGAAGATTACACTTTTCCTTGTTGATGTGATGTTTTTTTTGTTTTTGTTTCTTTCCCTTAACTGTCAAGTGGGAACTAAGTATTTTGTATAAGCAAGTGTTTGTGTTTCTCTTATTTTCCTACGACACTGCAATGATTGGCTGTGAATAAGAGAAATATGATATATATAATATATTACAAACCATTAATGAACTCTTTAATGCAGTTATTTAGACTGACCGTCGCCAACACTGACTGCTGGAGGAAGGACTGAGGAAAGTAGGTTTTCGCAAAAATAAACAACTTAAAAACTGTTCCCATTGGTCTGAAAGGAAGATGTAAACCTCCATCTGAAGTCCTTAACTGGTGTTGCACATTTTGAGCCTCTTTGCATCTAAAAATAAGCAAATTTGAAGTGTCCAACCTTTGAAATGCTAACAGAAACTGACAAGATATATGCTTTACAAGTATGTCTATTCTCCTGTAGAGTACGCATATATTCCTGCTCTATCTATCTATCTATCTATCTATCTATCTATCTATCTATCTATCTATCTATCTATCTATCTCTCTCTCTCTCCATCCATCTATCTATCTCTCCATCCATCTATCTATCTATCTATCCATCCATCCATCCATCCATCCATCCATCCATCCATCCATCCATCCATCCATCCATCCATCCATCCATCCATCTATCTTATCACCACATTACTGCAGGCGTCCCTACAGCTGACTGTAAGGATAATGTTCACCATCTCGGAGAAACAGAGGCATCTAGGCAAGAACCAATTATTGATCTTTGCAGAGACATTGTTTACAGTTTAAAATACTGCTGTAATGCACTAAAAGGGCAATTAATTGACTTAGTAACAAGGTACAATTCATAGTTTTAGCCAACATGTGAGGAACAGTATAAATGGCAGTAGACTGCTAGTTTGTGCACAAACATTTTGTATCCATTTGTTTTACAGAATACATTATTTTTTTCCAATCTGCAACCCAAACTATAAATCAGCAAATTGAATGAACAGATAAGATACTTCAGGTGGATTTTGTACGCATTGCACAAAGACATTGGTGCACTTTATAGGACGTTTCATTTGAACTGAATGCATGCACTTGCAGTAAGTAAGCAGCCATATATAATTAGTTTTTTTTGTTATCTTACTGTCAGCTGTGGGTGCAGCTCCACTCTGAGCTTCAGCGACAGCGTCTGCATCCACCGCAGGAAGTAGATCCCCTGAAACAACAACAGAAAGGACACAAAAGGTCAGACATAAACCCATATTAAACAAGTCTAACTTTGGGGTGACAGTATATAAAAAAAAACAACGCTAAATAAGAAACGCTCTGTAGATGCTGGAGCGATACATATATGCTTATCCTGCAAAAAGGCAGGTAAGGTGTGCATGTTACACAGCACAGAATTGTTAATGATTATTAAAAAAACAACACAGTGACTAATGTGCAGTGTTTTTCTACATCTAACACATATACAAAAAGACACTACAGAAGTTTAATGGCGAAATAATTTGGAATAAACACTCTGTCTTCAGGTTGAGCTCCTTTTCAGCATTATTATATATCGGTTTTTCTCAATTTTATGCTATAATATTAAAATGTAGCATTCCTATATGCATGAGAGTAGCCATACACTTAGAATAAGGTGCTGTTTACACGAGAACGCAAACGGTTGTATCCGCTACTATTCTCTTTCGTATAGCCGTGTAGCATGGTCAGTAGCTACTGCTACTGCTACTGACCATGCTACAGATGTTAGTGCAAAATCTACAGCTCCTCTACCACAACCATCAGCAACAAATGGACATGGAGAATTACATGAACTACATGGTGCTAAATCCACCGCGGAGAATAAACAGAAGGGCAACCATGGCAACCATGCTCGGGGGTCTTCTTCGCTGCTTTTGGTGTATTTTGTGGCGAAAGTACAGCGCCACTTACAGGCCCGGCATATGTACTACAGCGTCTCCAGCGCTTTTGAGGGGTCTCGTGTGAACTAAAGACTTTTTTGATATCGTGTTCGGTTCGTTTGCGTTTCGTATGCGTTTGCGTGTAAATGTGGTCTAAGGCAATAAATAATGGAAATGACATCACATTCACATCGTGTGTCACTGACAGCACATTTAGGGTGACGTAAATCAATATTTAAGATGTTATATTTCTGTGTTTCGTCACTTCAAGTTCCTTTATGTTCAACGTTTATTCCTACATGTCCTCGCCGTTTAAAGAGTAGCTTTACCCGAATGACCAAATGAACATTAAATCTGTATATACTATTTTGTATGTACTTTCCCACTATGACTATGTATGTCATTAAGTATGGTATTCCTTGGTAAGTCTGCTCATAGCATACAGAGACTGTGTCAGTACTCTCTGCAACAAACCAGCGTTTTGCCTCGATATACAGAATAAGCACATATCTGTCTCAGCAACATGTGTACAGATATTTAATTATAATACATGTTAACCTCATTCTATTTTACTTTCCATATCGTAAACCAGATTATATTTCATTCTCTTTACTGTATTTCCGTTGTTGTGCGCTCACCACAGGTCAGAGCTTTTATTTCCACATGTCCTCGTCGTTTAAAGGGTGGCTTTACCCAAATGGCTCTTTTGCAACAAACCAGAGTTTTGCCTCGATACACAGAATAAACACATATCTCTATCAGCAACATGTGTAACGGATACTCTGCGCTCTCTGGGAGCTAATCAGGCTCCGGAGCAGAAAGCAGACGCACGGCTCCATTATTAGCTGTGATTCTGAGCATGTGCTCCACAGATGTGGGAGCTGGAGGAAATTGGTGGTGCCGAGGACTTCATTGAACAAAACCATGCAGCATTCCTTTCAGGAGCCACACTTCCCTTTATAGATCGGAGTTTAATCCAGACGGGGAGAAAGGACTACATCTGTAACTTTTACTCATGTAACTGTCTTATTCATGTTTTATTATCAATGCCATTTTATAATATGTTTCTTAAAGGTCACCTATTATGCAAAATCCACTTTTCATGTATTTTCTACATCAACATGTGTCCCCTCTTCTTCATGTCTCTTCTACATCAACATGTGTCCCCTCTTCTTCATGTCTCTTCTACATCAACATGTGTCCCCTCTTCTTCATGTCTCTTCTACATCAACATGTGTCCCCTCTTCTTCATGTCTCTTCTACATCAACATGTGTCCCCTCTTCTTCATGTCTCTTCTACATCAACATGTGTCCCCTCTTCTTCACGTCTCTTCTACATCAACATGTGTCCCCTCTTCTTCATGTCTCTTCTACATCAACATGTGTCCCCTCTTCTTCATGTCTCTTCTACATCAACATGTGTCCCCTCTTCTTCATGTCTCTTCTACATCAACATGTGTCCCCTCTTCTTCATGTCTCTTCTACATCAACATGTGTCCCCTCTTCTTCATGTCTCTTCTACATCAACATGTGTCCCCTCTTCTTCATGTCTCTTCTACATCAACATGTGTCCCCTCTTCTTCATCAACATGTGTCCCCTCTTCTTCATGTCTCTTCTACATCAACATGTGTCCCCTCTTCTTCATGTCTCTTCTACATGAACATGTGTCCCCTCTTCTTCATGTCTCTTCTACATCAACATGTGTCCCCTCTTCTTCATGTCTCTTCTACATCAACATGTGTCCCCTCTTCTTCACGTCTCTTCTACATCAACATGTGTCCCCTCTTCTTCACGTCTCTTCTACATCAACATGTGTCCCCTCTTCTTCACGTCTCTTCTACATCAACATGTGTCCCCTCTTCTTCATGTCTCTTCTACATCAACATGTGTCCCCTCTTCTTCACGTTTCTTCTACATCAACATGTGTCCCCTCTTCTTCACGTCTCTTCTACATCAACATGTGTCCCCTCTTCTTCACGTCTCTTCTACATCAACATGTGTCCCCTCTTCTTCATGTCTCTTCTACATCAACATGTGTCCCCTCTTCTTCATGTCTCTTCTACATCAACATGTGTCCCCTCTTCTTCACGTCTCTTCTACATCAACATGTGTCCCCTCTTCTTCATGTCTCTTCTACATCAACATGTGTCCCCTCTTCTTCATGTCTCTTCTACATCAACATGTGTCCCCTCTTCTTCATGTCTCTTCTACATCAACATGTGTCCCTTCTTCTTCATGTCTCTTCTACATCAACATGTGTCCCCTCTTCTTCATGTCTCTTCTACATCAACATGTGTCCCCTCTTCTTCATGTCTCTTCTACATCAACATGTGTCCCCTCTTCTTCATGTCTCTTCTACATCACCATGTGTCCCCTCTGTGGAAAGAGACTCTGAAAGTCTCAGGAACAAAGATTATCTCTCTTTTTGTCCTGATCCATTTATATAAAAACCTGTCTGAAAATGAGCTGATCAGATTTTTGCCACTTTATGATGTCATTACGATGTTTTGGCTTGTGTAACCATTAGCCAATCAGCAACCAAGGTAACCCCGTTACCTTGGTTGGTGTTAATATATTGATGTAAAACAGTATAATAGGGGACCTTTAAAGCTCTTAATGTCTTTCATTTGTGTAAAGCACTTTGAATTGCCTTGTGTTGAAAGGTGCTATAAATAAACTTGCCTTGCAATGGGATGGAAAAGCTGGATTTTAAATTAACCAAAGACAAATCAAGTTAAAGTCCTCTGGGATAATAAACAATGTGAGCAGTTGATATTATCCCACTGCGAGGAAACTGAAAACAAGCCTCAGTTCTGCTGTTGATCTTTCCCCTGATCACACTCAGCACACCGCTCCCATCTGGTACTGATCTTTAGTAGAAGTTAGAGAAATAAAACCCTGATGGAAACAACAAGGAGTGATCTGTTCCTGAGAGGACAAGCTGAAACTCTTGACTGGTTGGTTCAGTTTTGTCGGGGAATTCACTTCTCACTACTCTCAGAACCAGTTTCATGTTAATGAAATGTACACATTTGCTGATTCGTGGTTAAAGGATCTCCCCTCTGATCTGTAGTCTATACTCCGAAGCAATTTGTATTTATTAATTAAACGTCAGGGTAAGCATCCTTCTTACTCTTGTCCTCCGCACTTTTGTCATATCACCATCTTTCATATTATTATTCTTCTTTTGTTTCACATTTTAAGAAAATAGATATGTAGATATATAGATAAGAACGAGTCAGATCAAATGAAGGGATCTTAAACTTGATTTAGATTCAATAAAATAATATACATACATACACCAAACCCTTTCAAATTAACCATTTAAATGTCTATGTGTGAAATCTATAAGGTCTCTTAATGGAAACATTACAGAAGAATTACTAATAAGATCATTCAGATCAATCCCGGTAGTAAAATCTGATTGTTTGTGAACTTTTAAGAACGTCCTATTAACATTACACACACAAAAAAGCATTATGTGTATAAATGTATGAAGCATATACAGTAAATATAACACTTCAAATCCTTCATTTAACATTTGAAATGTCAAAGTAATGCTTCTCAAAGGTTCTCAAATGTTGACACCAGAGCATTTATGGGTAAGTAGTTTGAATACCATGTCGTTAAGTACTTCATTGAAAGAAATGAGTGGATTAAACAGGCTCTACCCCCCTTTGTCGCTAAACACATCTAAGGATCAACACAGAATGCTGTGTGTCCCTCACACTCATGAACTGTGTGTGTAATGTAAAACTGCAGCCTGCAGGGGACACTACTCTTGTTAGGAAGCTTCTACAGTAAAGTAGTATTTTAACAGAGGTGGGAGAAGTACTCAGATCTTGTACTTGAGTAAAAGTAGAAGTACTCAGATCTTGTACTTGAGTAAAAGTAGAAGTACTCAGATATTGTACTTGAGTAAAAGTAGAAGTACTCAGATATTGTACTTCAGTAAAAGTAGAAGTACTCAGATCTTGTACTTGAGTAAAAGTAGAAGTACCAGAGTGTAGGAATACTCTGTTACAGTAAAAGTCCTGCATTCAAAATGTTACTCAAGTCAAGTAAGAAAAGTAAGAAAAGTATTCTCATCAAAATATAGTGAAAGTAGCGACAGTACAAGTAGTCATTGTGCAGATTGGTCCATTTCAGAATAATATATATGATATGTTTTATAATGATTGATCATTAGTGTTCTCAAAGCTGGTAAAGGTGCAGCTAGTTTGAATGACTTTGTATACTGCAGGGTAGCTTGTGAATTTACTCCAGGTGGAACTAAAGTCTGATTTAACACTTGATTATATTTTCACA